GTCCCTCGATTTAATTCCTTTTCCCGTGTCATCTTATTCACAAGCACATATTCGATGCATAGTCCTAAGTGATAAACCGGATGAGTGAAAACTCACAGGTGTGTTTTCGGTTCCTCTGTAGGGTTTCCCGCTGTGCACGCGTTAAAGGGCCCTAATCATTTAGTCGCTCTTTGGTGTTTCTTTTCCCATATGTGGGCTAGCCTCCTAGTTTCGCTGAACGGGCTCCAGTTGGAGTTAGACTTCTTCTGTCACTACTGGGACAGGTTTGATTTGAACACGCTGAGTTACCAGTTACCCTTCGCAGTGGAAGAGTTAGCCCTCTCTACTGCGGTCCAATACTTACTGTCTCTCCTTGTTTGAGCAGCCTCCTTCTGTGGAAACTCCAATGTTTTAGTCATTGTCATTGTTGCCTCTGAGTCTTCCATGGTTGTTCTTTCTCTTTCTTGGATTGTCGGGGGTGCGGCAAACTTGCTGAGGAGGGTGGGGGGATGATCGGGCTCTATTGACAGCTTGTAGAAGAAACACTTGGTGCTGACCCACCACTGGAGACCCACAGCACTTGCATGGAAGCAGCTACTCTGTCTTGGATCTGTGATTAATTGTGCCTCTTACAGTGTTTCACTCAGCGTTTATACCTGTAAAATTCGATGGGATTTATTTCTAGCCTTTTTTCTAATTTGTCCACTTCATTTTGAGTGGCGCTCTCTTGCTTCATAAATCATTTGACAGGCCTGACATGCCAGCTTCGCAGGAATGGGTGAGCAGCATGGAAACTCTACTACCGGGGACTTCAGGGAATCAGTCAGACAGCTCTGGACCTGGGACTTTGCCCTGTCCCACCACCAAATGCTCCTTACTGCATAGGTGTGGAGGTCTAGGCTTCACCAACTACAGCTGAAGAGTTTCAAATCACATTTTCCCTGTTCATTCCTCAGGTTGGAGAACCCTAGGCACCATGAATTGTTACACTTGGAGCCGTATGTAGAAGAACACAGAAGCAGTGAACGTAGAATTCTTCCTAGAACTAGTGAATAGTGGATTTTTGTCTGTCAGGAAGAATCCTTTACCATAGTGACTTTGCTGCTTAGACAAATATATTTTTAATTTATTTTTTATTTCATGTGCATTGGTGTTTTGCCTGCATGTATGTCTATGTGAGGGTGTCAGATCTTGGAGTTAGAGATAGTTGTGAGCTGCCATGTGGGTGCTGGGAATTAACCCAGGTCCTTTAGAAGAACAGCCAGTGCTCTTAGCTGCTGAGCCAGCTCTCCAGTCCCTAGACACATAATTTTACCCATTGTCCAGAGCTGAAACACTTCAGCTACATCCTGCTTGACAGAGGGGTAGGCCCCACACAGGAAGCCAGCACATCTTTTGGGAAGCTTGTGAACAGCACTGGCCTGCGTGTGTCAGGTTCCAGGCCAAGTGTGAGTCCTCAGCAATTCGACTACTACAGCCTTACTAAAGGAAGGTGTGCACTGCTGGACTGTCAGGGGTCTGCACCTCCTTCTCTGAAAGTGTGTGTGTGAGAGAGAGAGAGAGAGAGAGAGAGAGAGAGAGACAGAGAGAGACAGAGAGAGACAGAGAGAGACAGAGAGAGACACACACACACACACACACACACAAAGAGAGAAACACTGAGTTTCATCCAGTTTTCAGAAAGCTCCACAGATCATGTGTGGCTAAGGTCTGTTCACTACATAGATAATCATCCAAACTTTCCAAGTGGGTAAAATGAGTTGGAAGTCAACACATATGCGCAGGCATGCACGCACACACTCACACACGCACGGAAGAGAGTGAAATCTCTCACATGCTAGTTGTATGCCAGAAACTCCTGGGAACGTCCCCCTGAGTCCTCAGGAGAACACCGGAAGTACAAGGAGGAAGGATGCTGAGCAAGTCTGGCTATAAAACCCATGTGCCTTGTGCACCTCACTGCCTTGGGAATAAAAATGAATACCACCGAAAACTAACAAAGACCAGCGATCTAAACCAATGGGAACATGATTTCACATTCAAAAATGTGATTTTTCTGTACAATTAGGAAGTTATCTGGGGAATAAAGTTGGGTGATTTAAACCATATGGGTTCTGAAGATGTGGGATGAGTCCGGGTGTGGCTTTGAAAAGGGACGGTCGCTCCTGAAGCTGAGCATCGCAGGGAACGAAGATGGAAATGGAGCAGCTGGGAGCCCCCGCTTGCTGTCCAGCCTCCTGCATGAGATCATGTGTTTACGGCCCCAAAGACTGAGCTGAACTAATTTAATTCCTATTTGGCATCTCTATACTAATTAATGACAGTTGTTTCATTTGTACATATTATATTAAATTAGGTGAATTCTTCATCTTTCTTTGGACTAGAGTATTAATTCTTTTTTTTTTTTTTGTGCAAGGTTTCCTAACAGAGCTGAGGAAACATTCCTGACCACATAGCTGAAAGCCTTACCAACACCCCCACTATACTAAGGGTACTGCTTTCTTTATAACATTAAACCCTAAAGAATAGCTTGATCATCGTTTTCTGGAAAATATTAGCTGAGAATATTCAGGGAACAAAAGTAGATGCTTGTAAGTTTCTAGAGTTTTCTGCATTTCTTTCTGCCAGGATGTCTTACCTAAAACAATGTGGTCATCTGTTTGGAGAGCTCCAGGGAGAGGGAGCAGGATTAATTCCTGTCCCTGTGTGCAGTGTAAACAGCTTTTTGCCTGTCTTTTGTCATTAATGATCATGCCGTGGATGTAGCCAGTGCATTGTAAGCCAATCTGTCAAGGCAAATAAACAATTCACCTTGTTAAAATTCCCTAAATCTTGCATTAATAAAACCGAAGGAGCCCCCTGAACACTCAGGAGATGTCTTCCTCCATACTGCAGTGATGGATGACATGTCTAAAGAGCCTGGAAATTAAGTAGTTTGGGTCATTAAAAGTATCCCACGCTTCTTATTGATTTAATTTATTTTTAAAAGGTAGGGCTGGAGATAAGAATGTTGCACCCTCCCCTACTTTTTTATTTTTTAACTCTGAAAGCTACCACCTATACAAGTAGTCAAAATAATTTCCATGGCAAATTGTTCCATACTCACCACAATAAAATTAAGTTTTATTATTCAAATGAGTATTATGCTGTCCTGTTAAGCAAACATCTAGAAATATCTCTGTAGTCCTTGCAGCCTTTGTCAGGGCAAAAACTTGTAAAACTTCTTGGACTACCGAAGCAATGATCTTTAGATATTCAAAAATTCTGTTAAGTGGGTAGGATTTGAAATAAATGTCAAACCATTTGAAAGAAATGAACTGGAATGTAGGAGATTATGTCTGTGGGCAGAGAGCCTCTTTTGTCCTTCACTGTCTCAAGTCTTTGCTTTCTGCTTGTATAGTTAGGGAAAGAATATAATATCTGAGATGAAGGAGAGGTGTGTATGTGGATGGATCAGTGGAAGGGAAGGCGTTCAGAGAGTGGTGTGTAGGATCTTAACCGTCACTCTAGGTTGTTTGAGTTGTTCATGTGCTAATTTCTTTATCCTGTACTCCACTGAGCCCACTCTATTTACTGTCATTTCCCAGCACCTGATATGACAAGCACCCAGTCAGTTTTATTTAATGAACAGAGTAGGATTCCCATCTACTTTTCTGTCTTCTCTTTTTTTCCCTTAAGATCTTTCTGGTAAAGTGGGCTCTGCAAGGGATGGCGACAGCCCAGATACCCTAACTTTCCAGATGGGCTATCTCTGGTACTTGAATAGTAGGAGAATTGGGCACTGCAATACATAAGCAGGCCTGAAAGCCTTTGTAGCCCTAGTCTGTGTATGTGATCTGAAATGGGCAGTAGGGTTCCACACCAGTGAGAAATGAGGCAACTCAGTATGGAATGATGGCATGCACAGGATGTACAGACGCACTTATAATTTGACCCAATTTTTTATTTAGTCTATATCTCCTGCATCAGTTAAATGACTGTTCCTAAGATGCTGTCAGATAATATTTCACTGATTTCCATTATTCTTCAAATACATGTATTATTATTGGGGGGAAAATCACCCATGGTATGTTATTTAAGTAGAACCTTAAGAATAGTTATATTATGAAGTATGGCCACTCCTAACTGTAATCCCAACACTGAGGAGACCAAGACAAGAGGACAGGTGTGAATTCAGGGCCAGCCTGGGCTAGACTGTAGACCTCTCTTTCAAAAGAAAAGCAAAAGAACAGTTGCATAGTCTTTGGTACTTCTCCCTCACTCTTTAGTGGAGAGAGAGGACCAGGTATCAAATGTGTAATCTGTTAGCACACATTTGCAGATTCTTTTAAAATGCATAAATATAAAAATGCACTCCATAGCCTCCATCAGATTTCTCCTCCATGTTGCATAATTTTGATCTCGGCATGCTGACACGTTTATGCCATTATGCCAGCTCTTTAGCAGAGCTATTTAAGTGGAAGAACTTTATAGATTTTTTTCAATACATACCCTGATTTACACTTAGCGGTAAAGTTGTCACTGACCCTTTAAGTGGAGCTGTCCAGATGGCAATAAATGTCAACTGATCCTTGTGCAGAAACAGGTGATAACTAAGGGGTTAGACTAAATCTTCCAGATGGAAAATCTGCAGAATTTCCTAGGAGTAGTGGCCTGTTATGGAAATGTAAATACTTTATCGCTCAATAAGGAACATTGAGGTTGGACTGTTCAGGGTGGATCAGAGTCTCTGCGAAGGCAGGGAGTGTGTCCAGTGCTTCCCCAATGTCTTGTCCATTAGTGAGTCTCTGAAGATAGGAGACACTTCTGTAAATCTACCGTGACGGAGTGGATAAACTACAGGGTGTGCTCACACTGTGTAGTATGCATTAACCTGGATCTATTCCTCGTATCAATTATGAGGAATGTTGCTGGTGATGTGATGACTTTGATGGACAGTTATGACTTTTTGATAGAGTTCCTTTGATTGATGGTCTAACAGACTTCCCTCCCATCTCTAATTTCATTTTCTGCTTTCACAGGCCGTCATTTTGGAAAATGAAGAACTTCCCAAGCTCTTCCTTGATTTCCTCAATGTAAGACACTTGCCATCCCTTCCAAAGGCAGAAAGTTGTGGGTAAGAACTGCTATTTACATTGTGGGTGTGTATTTTAAGTTACTCATCAATGACTGATTGTCCTAACAGTTACCCCATAGTGGTGACACATGGCAAGCTGGCCACATCTAAGCTCTTAGTTGAGGTGTTACTCTCTCTCTCATATCCCTCTGTTTATAGTGAGAGGAATCTCTCCCAAGTCTTCATCTCCATCGTGCAACAAATGGTCCAGGCAAAACCACACCTAGGCATAAGTAACTAACTTTTTAAATGATGGTGTCACATAGTGTCACAGGTGGTAATTTTGAATGCAAGGTGTAATTAAGGGCAGTCCCTTGACTTGGACCAAGTATACATATTTATTTAGCTTTTTAAGGGCTTACTTCTATTATTTATGTGTATGCTTGTGTCTGTGTATGCAATGTATGTGGAGGGGGTTGCCTGTGGAATCTAGAAGAGGACATCAGATCCACCAGAACTGGAGTTACAGACAGTTGTGTATTGCCTGACATGGGCACTGAGATCCAAACTTAGATTCTCTGGAAGAGCATAAGTGTTCTTAACCATCTCTCTAGTCCCCATATTCATACAGTTTTAAAGTTATAGACGACTTTGGAGATCATTGATACAACACCCCTCTTTGGTTGCTGGTCAGAGACACAGTATTTAAGTGCCTTTCCCAAGCCATGCAAGCGGCAGAACCCAGGCCTTCCATGGAGGGCTGCTTTCTTCTCTGACCACTGCTTTTCCCTCAGGAACTCATAGCTCATGGGCTGTAATCCCTAGTTCCTGTTAACCATGAAAGTAGAGGTGTAACATCACTGGCAGCTGAAGAAAGTTCTAAAGACTGAAATCTGCAGCAAGCTGGGTTGAACTAGCCTCCAAAAGCAGCTAGCAACACCCTGCCCAGTCAGTCAATCCCCAGAGACATTAAGGCAACACAAATCTAGCAGGGCACAGAGCTTTGCCATTCTTTCCCTCAGCTTTCAGCCCATTCCTGAAATTGGGTTAAAACTGATCTGTCTACGGATTCACCGCTCCTTGTCAGTACTGTTGACTCATGGCCACTTGCTACCCACTCCAGAGCCTGAATTATGTTCCATACTCACAAAGTGATCTATGTGGCCAGTGTGTCCTGTCCCAACCTGTGCATTCGTGTTTTCTCGGAAGGATCTTGAATTTTACACAGCGACATTATCAGTGACAGTGAATGAGGTCTTCTTACTTCTATTCCAACCCCAAAATAGTAATAAAGTGTAGATGGAAGTTTCTGTCCCGCCTGGCCCCACAGTCATTAGTCCCAGATAAACACACAGAGGCTCATATTGATTATAAACTGTTTGGCCTATTGCTCAGGCTTATTACTAATACGCTCTTACAACTTAACTCAATCCATAATTCTTATCTGTGTTTAGCCAGATGGCTTGGTACCTTTACTCAGTGAGTGATTCTCATCTTGCTTCCTCTGCCTCTGGCTGGTAACTCACTTTCTGCCTTCCTCTTCCCAGAATTCTCCTAGTCTGGTAGCCCCACCTATACTTCCTGCCTGGCTACTAGCCAATCAGCATTTTATTAAACTAATGCGAGTGACAAATCTTTACAGTATATAAAAGCGTTATCCCATGTCAATAAGGCCGTGTGATTTTTAAATGATCTTAAGGAAAATTGAAATGTCCAGAATCTTCCAGGCTGACGATTTTTTTAGACAGAGTTATCAGCCATACTGCGGCTCAGTACAAACTCAACTTTTCTGTTTGTTTCCCAATCCAGTGCTAAGGATGCTAACCTCTTGCTTTGCTGGCATAAATATTGGCCCAACTTAATTGGTTTGTTTTCTTTTCTTTTATACAAATTTCAGATCTTTTGATGAGACAGAATCTGAAGAGTCAAGGTAAGAACTAACACAGGTCAACAAGGAGTTACAGAAATTAATACTAGAACTGTAGTTTGTTCAGTGTCTAACTACCCATGGTATACCTTCTTTTAGTCATATTTCTCTTGAAAATACTTTGTTGGATATTGGTTTTAAGATGATAAATATTTGACAGAAATTTCCAGGGTTAATTGCTTATAATTGGGAATGAAAAGGGTTAAGAGCCCACATGGCTTCATGCAAGTAATAAGAATACTGTTTTACTTAGGATCAAATTGCAGTTTAAGAAAGTACTTTCCAGCAGTGATATTTACAACATAGATGAGAGTCTGTCTCATATCCCAGAGAGAAATATTTGGAAGACAAGTGCAACGCCCATGACTTCCCTCTGTGTGTTTGCTGTTATTCCCCCACACTGGAAGATGCAGAGACCTAGAGACATCCCACACAGCAGTTTGATCCCCTCAAAGCTAGTTTGTAGTGTTTTCTGTTTACCATCGTCCCCTGATGCTGACATGCCTGTTTTTGACCTTTCCAGCAAGCTGTCCCACCAGCCGGTGCTGCTGTTCCTCGGGGATCCATACGTCTTGCCTGCAGCCAGCGGTAATCAAACCTGTCATCTGCTAACAGCTCTTTACTGATCTGCCCCCGCACCACATAAACCACGTTTGTAATACGGGTCTAACAGAGTGACATCGGTCCAGGGCTTAATCATCTGCCAATAAACCAGTGCTCTTGGTGTAAGAGACATTTAGAATTTTAATTGGGGCCGGCCTTTCAGGAGGAAATGTAATTTTTCTTTCTCTCTTCCTAGCCTATTTTGAATTAGAGAAAGAATGGATAAAGGTATCTATTTTTCTTCTTTTTTGTGTGATGTTTTTTAGACTGCTACTTGTTTTTAATCTAGACGTCAGAGTTCAGGTTTTAGTCTTTCTCCAAAAGCTGTGTACATTCACTGCAAGTATTCCTGTGTTTCCATTTAGGTCTCAGTATCTTTGATGATAGACTATATATTTTTAAGTTGTATATGTTAAATACAACTAAATGATTTAAGTGTAACCATAATTAATATTTTAGCACGCTACCTTTTTTGGTTCCAGTTCCCTAAAGTCCCTCTCAAAACGTTCTATGTGGCATTCCCAGAGAACATTCTCAGACATCATCTCATTTAATTTGTAAACAGCCTTATGAAATAGGCTCGGCAGAGAATATCATTGGCTAATGGGGAAAATTCCAACTTAAGGATTTTGGTGACTTGCCAGGCTCAGGTGTCCCATTTGAAGCCCAGGTTTTCCTTCTTTGCTTTTAGTGTATCAGGTCTCCAACCTCTGAAAATCACAAATATCAAGCCACAGGAAAGCATAGACGAAGGATCCATTGTTTCTGTCAACAAAACCTTCCTAGGAGCTGGAGAGAGGGATTTGCCATCTGTCTGTAGCATGGGGACTGTCCTGTCACCCACCTATCTATCAGTAAAGGAACGGTGACCAGGATGCAGACATCGCTCACTAAGAGGCCCCTCTGACCCTGCTCAGAGAGTCGTTGTCTCAGCTGCAAAGAACATGGTTTCACCATGTGTGGCTTTTTGTGCGCATCAGTGAGGAGCTGTTATCCCTCTTAAGGACTGCTCCCCGTATTTAACGCATTTATATTAATTATTAGGTAATGTAGTAGCTGGTGTTGTATTAAAATCTTCTGTCTAGCAAATAGAGTAAACTTAGTCTAGATTAAATGCCGTATTGTCTTGTTAAAATGACTCCATAGGTAATTGTCCCGGAATTGTCTCTATTCAGATGTTTCGCGCACCTGTCAGATAGTTCCCGCAACAGTGGGGGAGCAGAATTATACGAGCCAGGAACATCCAGGGGCCTGGTGGAAGTGTGTGTGTGGATGCATCTTGTGATCCATATATCCGGTTCTTTAAGCTTATCAAGCAGCACATAGTATACACTTGACAACCGAGACCAGAGGGGCCTTCTGGGAGGCAGCATCAGGACAGATGTGGGAAGCAGGAGGATTAAGGTGTATGTATTGTTGATTACTTGATAGCTTGGACCAAAATAAGGGAAAGCCTATTTGAGAGTAACTGAATTAATGGGTTCGGTAGACAGAAGGAAAAGAGTACAGTGGCCAACCCTTATGTGAATTCTTAGACTTTGGCAGATCCAGTTGCAGAAATCAGACTCCTCTGGCCCTTGAGAAACATTATCTGTACCACACTGTTCTTAAGATGCCTTTTAGCGAGTGGAAGTCATTATTCCTGAAATACTGAATGTGGAAATCTGGAGGTTTACCAACCCCCATTTAAGTTTACTGCCTTTACATTTCAGACATTCTGTCTAAATGTCCCTTTATAAAAAATAATAATGGCTTTATTGGTAAAAAGCTTGCCACTGGAGGATAAAAGTTTTAGTTCTACCCACAGGACCTACATTAAAAAACAAAAGGCCAGGCATAATGGTGCATTTATAAGCCAGCACTTTGGAGGCATGCAGGAGGATCCCTGGAGCTCACTGGCTGGTCAGCCTAGCTGATCAGGGTGCTCCCCATCGCTGAGACCCTGTCACAAAAAGCAAGGTGGATAACTCCTGAGAATGACACTGGAGGTTGACTTCTACGTTCCATGTGGGTGCACACATATGCATGCACTCACACACGCACGCACGTGCGCACGCGCACACACACACACATACACACGCACACACACACACACAGGAAAAAAAGAACAGGCTGATCTTTATCTCCTTAGCTTTTGACATAAAAGTCAAGAGAATACCCTGGGTTTTAAAGATTGGTTTATTTTTACTTTATGTGTATGAGTGTCTTGCTGCACGTATGTATATACACCATCTGTGTACCTGCAGAGGCCCCTGAAACACGAGTTGTAGATGTTTGTGAGCCCCCATGTGGGTGCTAGGAACCGAACCTGGGTCCTCTGCAAGAGCAGCCGGTGCTCTTTTTTTTTTAATAAACACTTTTTATTATATATTTAAATTAGAAACAAGCTTGCTTCCCATGTCAGTCCCAGCTTTCTCCCTCTCCCCTCCATGCCCGCTCCCCCCCTACCAGCCCCACCAGTCTCCCACCCAGTTCCCACTCCATTCCCCAGGGCACCTGCCCTGCCCATCCTACTGACCCTGCCAACCCTACCCCAAGGGCACCTGCCCTGCCCATCCTACTGACCCTGCCAACCCTACTCCCAGGGCACCTGCCCTGCCCATCCTACTGACCCTGCCAACCCTACCCCAAGGGCACCTGCCTTGCCCATCCTACTGACTGCCAACCCTACCCCAAGGGCACCTGCCCTGCCCATCCTACTGACTGCCAATCCTACCCCAAGGGCACCTGCCTTGCTCATCCTACTGACTCTACCAACCCTACCCCCAGGACACCTGCTGCTTCCTCCTTGAATTCTCTGGTTAGCATGCTTGGTGGTCCTGTCAGCTCCCAGGCCTTGTGTTGATTGTCACGGCTTTGAAGCCTTTACTTCTGAAGCAGGCTCTATACAGCTTTGTTCTGTTGTTGTTGCTAAGGGTGGATGTTCGTTAGATAGAGGAATGCAAGTAAACATAACAAGAAATGTATCCCAAGTTGCGTTCCTTACCCTCTCCTCCCAGTGGTAGACAAAGGTAGGAACAGTACAAAATGGACATTGTATTCAATCATAGCCATGGGGAAGTCTGAATCTCAAGTTTAAAGTCCAGTGGAACAAATGAGTGGGGACAGATGCAAAACCTATTATCCCACCGGTGACCATGAGGTTGGCCCACCCTCCTGTCTGTCCACTTTTTCTCAGAGCGCCCTGTTGGCTTCCGTCAGTAGAAATGGCTGTAGACTGTGTCCTCCAGAGGACCTCCCCACTGGCTCTCCCTGTGCGGGGAGCACTTTTTTCCTGGACACCCTCATACCTGCCTCCTACGGCACATCACACAGCCCACTCAAGCGGCACATTCACCCTGAGCCTTCTTTCCCTATCCTGTCCCATGTCCTGTAACCTGTGCCCTGCTTTGTGTCCTGACTTCCAAGCCTCTGTCTGACATATTAATCATGGTATAGAATTACTCATCAGACATAATGGGGTTTTCATTGTTGTTTTATGGGACTTCATTGAATCCACTTAAGTTAAATATGTTCACAGTATAAATTAACTGTATTTAAGTAGATTTTCAGATCTCAGATGGCAAAAGATAACAATATGCAACCTGTGTGAAATATGTTTGGATGTTTTATTGAAAATTAGTCAGTGGTTCAATTTATTAATATCTGTATGAGAAGTAAATTTACAGTTAGAATTAGCTAGACCATTTCTTCAAATATGCAGACATATTTAAAAGCCTACTGAAGGCTTTTAAACCTCTGACCTGTGAAAATGTGTGTGTGCATGCGTGCGTGCATGTGTGTGTGTGTGTGTGTGTGTGTGTGTAACGGAAAGGCATACACTCAGCCCGTGTTATCAGCCAGAGAGAGCTCACTAGTCATGTAGTAGACAGATTTGTTTAAACATTCTATTTGTATCATTTGCTTGCTAGCACCTGTTCCATGGCCTGAACAGAGACTGTAATTTATATTTCCAGTAGCTAGATGGGTTTATGGCATGTTGTAATGGCCAAGTATTTATTGTGTGCTAGGCCCAGCCCAGCCCAGCCAACTTTTCAGTAACCTGTAAGTAAGGTATTGGGGTGAAATCTACTTCACCACTCTTAAAACAACTCAGCCGTGTTCATCGAGCTGGGAGGTGACACCCACACACACAGGATGCAGAGCCATTTCAGTGAACGTTTGCTGAGGTGAATCAGTCAGTGTAGCCTAGGCTCAAAGGTGTCTCAAACTCCACAGGGCCCAAACTGAAGTGATTGGCTTCTAGTTCAGTCTCCTTCCTCAACTTCTCCCACAACCCTCTAGGTTAGTCAGACGCATACCCAAGGAGCTCCTGTGGTGACTTCAAGTAGTATTAGTTATTTCCTGCTTCCCTCTCTCTCCTCCTCTGTCTTCCTTCTCCTTTCTTCCAGCCTTTCTGTGAGACAGAGTCTCACTATATAACCCAGGTTGTCCTTGAACTTGAGGTGCTGCCTCAGGTTTCATTTCCTGGGGTTACAAGCTCACACCACCCCCATCCAGCTTAACCCTTGATGTCTCCCGTTATCCGCTAGTCATTTACCTCTGTCACCAGGCCACATCGTTCGTTTCTCTGGAACCCTTCCACTTTTCTGAGTCCTGCGTCAGGACCCCCCTTTGAACTGTAGCAGTGACAAAGTGACCTGTGTGCCCCTCACACTTGCTTCAGTCCATTCTCTGCACGGCAGTCAGTCATTTTTCAAACTCCAGTGTCTTGCTTCACTGTAAAATCCCTCAACACCCTCAGCACACTTCTGACAAAGCCTGAATTCCTGTGAGATCGTTACAGATCTGACCTGGTACCCCTGGCCTCCAGAGCCCCAGTCCCTCATTACATCACCTCCACTGATGACTCCCAGCCCTCTAGGCTCCCTTGCCATAGGCTGTACTGTCACCTCCTATTCCCCTGGGGCCTTCCCACCTTCTCTGGTGAAGCCCAGTTCCCTTGTACATGACTTTCCGTGGTAGCCACTCCGTAGAGAATGGATGTATGAAAAGAAGTACTAAGGAATTGGTCCATTTGCATAGTAACTCTGTTCAGAGTGGTCAGCCTTCACTAGGTCCTAACGCAATTGTGTACAGATCGAAGCTTAACCCCGAATGCCTGAGCCATGGGAAGATTGATCCCCCCTGCACAGTCCCCTACACCTTACCTGCTCTCACACCAGAAACCGGCTCGACATACTGTGTGTACCTCTGCGTTCCCTTTGCGCCCTCCACAAGAGTGAGGCTGGCGTTTCAAGCTTGACAGGATGGCTTTTGTTAGACTTTTGCCCTTTGGAGCTAAAAGACAGACCCCAGCTTTCTACTCTCCAGAAGCACACCCACAAGTCCACACACACACAACAACTTGGACTAAGTGGCTCCCTAAGCCTCAGCGGAAAAACCGCAGCCAAGTATTCCCAGTAGAAATCTTGGAATTCCTTCAAGTGTATTGAGATTTTGTTAGAAATTGAATTGCCAGCGTAATCCATCTTCCTTGTGAGGAAACATCCAGATAAAGAGCCGGGCCTAGCAGCATTAAGCATTAGAAGAGCAACCTCTGAATCAATAATGCTACAAATCTGGCCGTGCAATCCTGCAGCACCTGCTGGGAGCCAAAATGGCCTCTGGCTGACAAGCACAAATGGTAGCACTCCTCGACTATGGGTGAATATGCCCAAGTAGTAGGCCTGACCTCTGACACCATGGCCTTGATCTCTGATCTTTCCTGACCAAGGGCAAATGCCTCGGTCATGGGGACCCCAGAGAGGTGTGGTGGCTCCAATCCTTTTTCCACAAACACAATTATATATTGTTGATACACGTTAAGAAAAGCGGCTTTCCTTTTCTTTTTCAGATTTTCCAAATGTGGTCATCGAAGGAGTTCTTCATGGAATATTTTACTCTCATCTGCAGCCCAGGTAGAAACCCTACCTGGCCGGATGAAGCTGAAGCGAGTTTCAGTGTCAATGGCAAGAAAATCGATAGCTCTACCAACTTACCTGAAACTCCATGACACCATAGCTCTAGCTAGCAGGAAAATTCACAGTCCTAGCTTCCTTCAGAACAGGGACGTTTCTATTAGAATGGTGCTTTTAAAATTAGAAACTGAACCAGGGCAGCGTCAGTTTAAGGCCAATTGTTTGAGTAAAAGGGAGATTCCAACATGGGAAGTCAGGACCGGCAGACCACAGAGGAGCACTGGCAGTACCGAGTGTCACCAGAGCCAGCCTCTGCTTCAGCTGCACCATTTGCTAATTGGAAATCAGACCCTGCGTCATGCTGACACTGAGCAACTTTGGTGGCCTTTTATTCAGACCTTGACAACACTCATTTTTACGCCATGAGGTTTTTCTCAGTGAGGGATACTGTATTCAGGGGTCCTGGCACCAGAAGAGGGTCCTGGGACCCACTATGCTAAGGGGGAGGAAAAAGCCACGCTGGAAATTGAGTCGTATTCACAATAGAATGCATTGAAGAATAGAATGCATTTGAGTTTCCATTACAGAGGAGTTACCTCCCACCTGGCACTATCTGTGAGAGTCCCTGAGAAAGACACTATGCCAGAAATCTGGCCTCCCATTTTTTCCTCTCGTGTTGGAAAGTATGAGTGCTCCTCTGAAGACCAGCTGACACCCCTGATGAAGTCCCAGGGGCCATTTCCTGTAGAAAGTACACACTTTGAACGCTAGAACCACACTGCAAAGTTCTTGTTCCAGTGGGAGTCAGATGTGAGTTGACCGCGGTTGCAACAGGAGCAGATGGACTGTTTGTATCTGGGTTTCCTCCACGGTGTACATTATCATGATATTACCACAGGCTTTTGTGTGGTTTTTCTTATAGGTTCCTTTTCACTGACATCGTGTGTGCATTAATGTGAGTTAGGTGTTTGATGCTGTCTCTCCACTGATGTCACACAGATGGCCATCTTTTGCTCGGTGACAGAGCCAAGCGTATGTCCTACCTGTGTGTGTGTGTGTGTGTGTGCTGATGAACAACCAACTTGTGGTTATGGATTTTCATAAATTTAAATGTTGGAAAAAATATTGGCAATTGAAAGTACCATGTCATGAATTTTTATTAGCGTCTAAACCTACAGATTGAAAACCTGCTGCAAACTTTTAAAGATACGTTTTTATGATTGATTGTGTAATTACATGTTAGGAATAAAGTAATCAAGTGTTATCAGCGAAAAAATAACTAAATGGTGAAGTACTAGAAATACTTTTTTAAATGTTTTTATGTTACTAGCTATTTTGAGTTAAATAAAAGCAAATAAAAGTAAGTATTTGAATTTGTGGTTTTCCCAGGATTACAGGAGGTGTAGATTGTGTCTCTTTTTACATATGCACAGAACACAAATACTCTCACTTTTCACTAGACATGTATTTCTATTCTGGAGGGCGTACTAAATTACTTCATCTGTTGTTAAGATAATTGGTACTCATTAAATACTTCATGATTTACCAAATTAAAATAAAAAAAGACCAAATATATGGCGGTATGTCACTCAAGAAGTCTTTTAGTTGGCATGTCACTCAAGAAGTCTTTTAGTTGGCATTGGTAGCTCACAACTGTGAGGCAGAGGCAAGAGGACCACTGTGAGTTTGAAGCCAACCTGGTTTAGATACCTAGGTTCAGTCCAGCCAGGAAACCAAGACAAAGATAAATCATTCTCTTTTTGGAAATTAAATAACAGCTTAGCAGTGACCCGTTTTTAAAAAGCACTTAAAATTTAGTATATGGACTAGAGAGATGGCTCAGTGGCTAAAAGCAGCTTAAGAGCACTGACTGCTCTTCCAGAGGTCCTGAGTTCAATTCCCAGCACCACACTGTGGCTCACAAGCTTCTGAACAATCTATTCTGTACTCTCACGAGTTCTGATGCTGTCTTCTGGTATGGATACATGCAGACAAAACATCCATATACATAAAATACATAAATAAATCTTACGTGTATAATCTTGCCACTTGGGGTTCTTGTAGGAACTATAAACCACTGTAGGTCTTTTGAGCATAAAGAGTTGTGTATCTGAAACTGAGAAGACCTGGGTCAGTTTCTCAGCACCCACCTCAAAGTCCTGACAAGACACTTCTATAATCCCGACACTGGCGAGGTAGAGACAGAAGGATCCATGGGCCTCTCTGGCCAACAAGTCTAGTTGACTTGGTAACTTCCACCATCATTGAAAGACCTTGTTTCAAAAAGAAACAAAAAACAAAGTGAGAGCCATTGAGGAAGACACCATTGTCAACCTTTGGCCCCGACATGTATGCACATATACACATAAACACATCAAAATTCAAAACCAAACGAACCCATGATTTACCAGCCAGTATCCACAGCCCAGAGCAATAGGAAGTTGGTGTTCATCCCACAGCCCCTGACATTTCCCCACTTCATTGCCCATCAACACATGGCAGTGCAGTGTCTTCCCCGCCACAGTGGAATCTGGGAGAAGGCTGGTAGCCTTTTGATCAGCATAGCTTAGGACACACTGGGAAAAGAATGGTGTATATTTCCGTGGTTAGGAACATAAAAATACAAAAGAATATATAAAGAAACCCCCTCTCATTCCATCTCTTGAATACCCTAGTCCCCTCCTATAAGCAGCATGGTACTTAGTTTTTCTGTATAATACTTTGAGAGAGAATTCCTCCATAGGCAAATATATATTGTCCATCTACTGTTTTTATTTGATATTTTAGATTATGATATGAGTATGTTGTCTGTATGTATGTACAGCACATACATACTTGCCTGGGGCCCACAGAGGCCTGGAGAGGGTCAGATTGCCTGGAAGTGGAGTTACAGGTGGTTGTGAGCAACCATGTGGGTATCAGGAACTGAACCCGGGTCCTCTCCAACAGCAACAGTGCTTTTTACTCCTAAGCAATTTTTCCAGTCCCATCATCTAATGTTGATACTTCCTATTTCCCCCCTTTTTACAAACCTGGTAACCTACAATGCTCATCTTTTATACATATTTTCATATAATGACACATCTTGACAGTCTGTTAGTATACAAAGTATGTTTCTTTTCTCTTTACAGTTGTATACCTCTGCTATAATTTATGCAATATCATATTGTGATGCTGTTGACATTTTTCTACTATAAAAACACCACAGACAACTTTGTATGTATGTAACATATCTACACATTAATGTTAATAATAATTTTCAAAAGTTAATGGTCACAGCAACACTTTCATATAGAAACCATGTGTAGATGCACACTTATAACATTTTATTATTGGATTCCGGCTGACATGTGTAAGAACACCTACAATATTTCACTCGGGTTCCCTTGCACATGGTTGTGTTGCTATGCAGGTGGTGCACTATACAAGACCATACCATGCCATATACAATGTAGAATGTGAGTGGTACATTGAGCCATGCCTGAGGCTCTGCACATGAAGAAGTAATAAAAACTGATCCATTCAGAGCATATATTCATAAGCAGTAGAGAAATAAAGGAGCAGATGACAGAAATCAGGAAAAGAAGAATCCCATTGCCACTTGATCCAGGATGTAGGGTAACCCTCCTCCCCCATCCACACAGCTGTTGGACATTCTGCCCACCTGTCCCCTGGTGCTTGTTCTATGCAGAGCTGCTCTCCCACCTCGCCTCTGCCCTGCTCATTTGCATACTGGCTGCCCTGGCCCTGCTGTCCTTCCTACTGGTGTTACTTCTCCCTGTTGCCCTTCAAAAGTCTCCCATGTGTACAGTACCTCGTGGCGTCATAATCACTGCTGCCTGGTAAACCCTGCATTTAGAAGCTCACTTTGGAAAGTGTGGAAATCCCAGAGTCACAGCTAGGAGAAATAATCACACTTCAAAACTGATCACTGGACAGTGACTTCTTAGCACTTCGTTGATTCTGGCAGAATTTCTGTATGACTCAGTGGTTCTGGAAATGAGGACCACAGCCGAAGATGGCATTTGGGTATCTGTGTTCACAGAATTGTATACAGAAGGGGAGGAATGACCTAAGTGCCCATCAGTGGAGTAATGAGTTAAAAACAAGTGAATTCTGGTGTGTGCTGTTGGATGAACCTTGAAGACATAAGTTAAATAAGCCAGTCATGAAAGGACAAACAATGGATGACTCCATTAATATGTGGTGTTTAGAGTAGTGAGCTTGCCAGACACCAAAATATGGTGGTGGGTATGCCGTGGGCTCCAGGAAGGGGACATAAAAAATTAGGGTTTCATGGGTTTCTTTGGAAAAGATGACAGTTCCGGAGATGGACAGTTGTACAATGTGGATGTGCTCAACGTGCACCACTAAAAATGATCCAAATGATTGAGTTCATTTTGTGTCTTTCACTTCAATGGGAAACAACCTGAAGGGGGTGACTGGGGAACATGGAGCTCTGTGAGTAAGGACGGAGCACTCCATTGATGCTCTCTGCCATGACTGCAGGAGTTTTCACACACACACACACACACACACACACACACACACACACACACACCGTTGCTGCTCTCACAGTCCTGGAAACTTCTAAAATTTAAACTGAATTCAAAATTCTTAGATTGTCAACTAGAATAAGCTATGAACCACTTAGGATTCTGAGTCAGCCTAGACCATCCCGCCTGAAGATTAGAACCTCACAGTTGACTGACACACACTAGTAGGAACCACTGTAGCAGACTATGAATCACCTTTAGCATCTCTTTAAAATACTTTTTATCTATTCATTGACTGTTGGGGAAGTCCTGTGCATTTGTCAATAAAGCACTGTTGAGCTAATAGGAATCTAGATAGGTGGGACTAGGAGTCCAGGAGGATTCTGGGAAGGAGAAACACAGGAGAGTTCGAGATGTAACCGCCATGGGGTAGGAAGCCCGGAACTATTCTCTGGTAAGAGAAATAATTAGATTAACAAGTATGGGGTAATTACTTAAGTCAGAGCTAGCCAGTAAGAAACAAGCAAGGCCAACAGCTTCATAATTAATACAGCGTCTTGTGTGTTTATTTGGGACTGATGCGGCTCTAGAACCAGGCTGGCGGGGGATAAACCAAAGCGGCTAGCAAGGAAAAAGCTTCTCTTTACAAATGGTTGTCAGGAGCAGGATTGAATTTCCACGTAGAACGACAAAAGCTTTAAAGGAATTTTAGAAACAGAAGAATGGAGAGAAGCACAGATTTTTGATAGCAGCATTTTTCTCAGGTGTTTTGCTAGCGACAAGCTGAGATTCACGTGGCTCGCTTACTGGAGTCTTCCTGACTCGGCATAAAAAGAAAACAAAAAAACCCAGCAAGGTTGTTTTAAGAGACTCTGCTAACGATTGAAAGGTGTGTACGTACAGCTGGAAGTGGCAGCTTTTGCTGGATGTCAGCATGGACTGAGATGGTAAGCTGGAATCACGCTTACGCCCGCCATGTTGGAAAATACGGCAGTTTAAACTGCCTCGGTTTTAATAGATAAGACACATGGCCAGAAAAATGTAAAGATTTACAGTAAAGTCAGACTTGGATAAAGAAAAACCTCTAAAGGTTTACAGTGTGTTTAAAAATATACGTAAGATTGAGAGAAAAAAAAACAAACAAAAACGGCCTGGCTGTGGTGGCACCCGCTGGTAAGATTTGCTACAGAGGCAGAGGCAGGAGGATTTCCAAAGAGAAACCCTGTCTCAAGGAAAAATAAATAAAAGTGAAAGAAATAGAGTAATAATAATAATAGATAAATAAGCCACGTAAAGATGGAAAATACACAGAGAGTCTGGATACTGTACGCTATTGTGTTTTTCAGTTTTTTGCTTGCTCAGGAAGGAACTGCTACTAAAGTACACTTGATTATAAATGCTGCTGAATTAATCCAACTTCTATCTTTTGAAAATGCCTTGACTTCAAAATTTAAGTATAAGGATATGTTACTTGGGAAAGGAGATTTTGTTTATGTTTCTACAGAAAATGAAAAGCTGAGGATTCCTTTCAGGCTTCTGTGGTTTGATGAACCAAGACCCCCGGAAGCAGTGGACCAGGTGTTCCAACAACTGAAACAGCTAAGATGATGCAGCTTTACAGACCACGAAAATAAGGATTTATACAGGTTTCTGAGTTTTGTCATGATCCCCATGGTATGAACAGTGCCCCTTCCAGCATGAAGCAGTTTGGAATGAGCGACGTCCTAATTCCCATCTTGTTTATAAACCTTTGTTTTCATTTAAATGGGATTGTTTATAATTGGTTAATGATCACAGCCAATCTCTTTTTAATGGTAAAAGGGGAATTATGGTATGGGTATTGTTTCTCATTTACTGGTACAAATTCA